AAAACGTGATTTTCTCAAAATTGATTATCAGATCAAAATGGAGATCTACTCCCTTTCTATTGAATAGCGCCCATATTTGCACATCGCATTTTCCCGGCCACTCTAAGTGTGAAAATATCAGTTCCCTAACCAAGTTAGGTGTGGAATAATTTGGACACGTGTTGCCGTGTCGGTACGTAACAATTCCTTTACTTAACACCGGTCTACAGACAGTTTTTATGGTCAATAATTCCTAAGAACTGTCCGTAAATCATCTGTTACTGTCGCTATTGCTATTGTACAATTAATATAGTAGCATGTGATTTTTATTATCTACGTAAGTGATTGGTGCTTAATTCTCCATGAAAAAAAAAAGCCAAGTACCCCAAAATCCTTCACTAATGCTAACCATCCTATTAAACTTTAATCCTCTTTAATCTTAAGGTTAATAATAAAAATATACCACAACTGATATGTTTTGGTACGTACTATTTTTTGTTAGCACAAATTTATCAATATGTATGCGTATAATTTCTGTTATGATACGTACGTACATACGTGCAAATTACAGTATTTCTTTACACAAATGTATAACGATAACGATAATAGATAAAATATTTTTTATTTATTTAATTATTAATTTAGCAGACTTTTTTTTATAAATTAAACTACTTAGAGTTAGGGGTCTGTGCGGCCCAGGCATAAATTGAAAAAAGGTTCAAAACATAGTAAAATGAAAAAAAAAAATGCGGGCCGAAAATTTTAAAAAAAAAAATTTTTATTTTGCATACGTATACGTATACTTTATTATATTAGGTTAACAAAGTATCTTATGTAAAACTAATTGTTTAAAAAATAATAATGAATAATTATATAAAAAGTATAATTGTATTTATCACGCTTATCTATTAAAAGAATAAGTTTTTATTCTTTTAGTTTTTTACCGGTATTTCCCACAAAACAATTAAACCAATTACTAGCAGACCAGTAATACAGTAATAGATAATCATGGACTCTTATATATATTTATATTAGATGGTCAGATGACATGTACAAATCGTGGGGTTCTAGGTTACCGTAACCGTCAGGAGTTGCGCAAATAAAAAAAAATGAATCAACAGCTTTTGAATGCTTTTTAATCTTTTATTTTGATAAGAATGGAATCTGATAGTCAAGAAGAGATTGCGACGTCAACCAATTACTCAAATAAACGTGAAAAGAAACCTAAGAAAAAATTTAAAGTTGAAAAATCGTCAACTGCGGCTGGCTTAGGTGTTGATATAAAAGAAACTAAAAAAATTAAGGGTAAATCCGAAAAGAAAGTTTTTAATTTAACAAACTCGGCTGGCGAGTATTCTAATAGTAACAGACCCAGTAAACTACCTGAAAAATTCGAAGAAAAGAAAAGAAAGTGGAGTGAAGAAGAGGATTTAGAAGAATTATTGTCTCCTATAGTTGTAATAGAGAGTTTTAAAAAGAAAAAAAGGTGATACTTTTAATAAATCAACTTTTAATGGTGATATCAAGAAAAAAACCAATGGGTTGCGTAATGAAATAGATGAATTCAACGTAAATGGACCTTTGGTTAAAAGCAAAAAAGACCTTAATGAAAAAAGAAAAAAAAGAACAGAAAAAAAAAAAAAAAAAGAAGAAATTGGATGATGAAGACTATGTTGATAGCATTAAAAAGAGCAAGGGAAAGAGTAAAAGTTTGAAAAAAAAAATCCGTGAAAACTTTGTCAAATAAATCAAAAAAAAGGAGATATATAAGTACCGACGAAGATAGTGATGATACCAGCAGTTTAAGTGACATAAGCAGCATAGACAATGAGGATGATGATACGTCGATGACTAAAATGGTGGCTAGTGTTGTTATAAATAATACAAACAACAAATATCAAGAACACCCAACGCTTGCATCACTTCCTCAATCAACTATCGATGAGTTCTTCAGCACAAACGTAATTCAAGTTGTTGGTGATTCAACACTTAAACCAATTATGTCGTTTGAACAATTGATGGTAGACAAAGAAATTAAACGTGTTTTGGCAAGATTTGATAAGCCAACACCAATTCAGTCTACTTGTTGGCCTCTTTGCTTAAGCGGAAAAGATGTGATCGGAATTGCAGAGACTGGGTATGCATTATAATATATATATATATTTGTATTACAACTTTAAAATTTACAAATTTTTAATTATTTTTTAGGTCAGGCAAGACTCTAGCTTTTATTGTACCCGCGGTTATACATATTAAAAGTCCACCATACAGTCCACCTAATCATCAACCTTTTGCTCTTGTCATTGCACCAACACGCGAACTAGCCATTCAAACACATAAACAATGTGAAATGTTTGATTCAACATGTGGAATTAAAAGCGTTTGCGTTTATGGCGGTGTAGCCAAAGCTGAACAACGCAAACTATTGCGAAAAGGTGCTCATATAGTAGTTGCTACACCTGGTCGGCTACTTGATTTGGCTAACGACGGAGTATGTGATATAAGCAATGTTAAATTCCTTGTACTCGATGAAGGTATGCTTTATTATGAAATTTATTCTAATAACCTTATAATTCAAATAATATAAATATATAAAGATATAAATATTTATACTGTTTTTAATATTTAATTATACTATATATCGACGATTATTAATTATATATTTTTTCTTTAGCTGATCGTATGCTTGACACAGGATTTGAAGAAGAAGTTCGTAATATCATTCTAAAAACACGAAAAGATCGTCAAACTGTAATGTTTTCAGCAACTTGGCCCGAGTCTGTTCGTAAATTGGCTAATGATTTTTTAACTAACCCAATTCGAGTTACGATTGGCTCACAAAACCTAGCTGCAAATAGAAATGTTACTCAAATAGTGGAAGTAATTGATGATCCATCTGAAAAAGATCGTCGACTCGTAACACTTTTAGAAAAGTATCATAATCGAAAAAATAGAGTTTTGATATTTGTTCTTTACAAAAAAGAAGCTTCACGCGTTGAAAATATGTTGGCACGTAAAGGATATGAGGCACAATCTATTCATGGTGACAAGAGTCAATTTCAACGTATAGAAGCATTAAATGCATTTAGAGATGGAATTTATCCACTTTTGATCGCGACAGATGTTGCATCAAGAGGATTAGATATTCCTGATGTAAGATATGTAATTAATTACACGTTTCCGTTAACTATAGAAGATTATGTTCATCGTATTGGACGAACCGGGCGTGCTGGCAATAAGGTAATTAGTTATTTATTTATTTATTTACCTATTTAATTACGCGTTTTTTTTTTCTTAGTAAAAAGAAAATTATTAATATCTATAAACTTTTGAATTTTCATTTTATTATTTATTTTATAGGGAATTTCTCATACTCTTTTCACATCTTATGATAAAGTACATTCAGGAGAACTCATTAGAATATTGCGCCAAACCAATCAACAAATACCTGACTCATTACTTCGATTTGGTAGTGGTACTAAAAAGAAGGAACATAAAGCTTATGGTGCTTTCTATAAAGAAATTGATTATAATGTAAAACCTACGAAAATCAAATTTGAGGATTGAACTCTCTAACAGAAAGGTAAATATGGATAGATAATAATGATGTATACTTTATATATTACATATATTATTACATTACAAAATATTGGCAGATGTCTTATTTGTAATTTTGAATTGGTGTGCCAGTGCTTATACACATGAAAACGATGGTGATATGGATTTATCCAAGGTTAGCATTGATGTTTCACTAACTATAAATGGATCTCATGAATCACCTTAAGTGATATAGTAATTACATTAAAATGAAGGTTTTTTTTTCACATTGGGTTGATCCCGACTATACCGACCAAAAAGCAATATCTGGTAAATTAAGCCAGACATCCTAACTAGCATTGTCTTTAACATTCCGACTTTTTTGCCTTACATAAAAATCATATAATGCTGTAATGGTATAAAAAAAAAAATAATAATGTAATGATGTCAGTTGTATACTATTGTTTGTAAAAGACATGCTGTATGTAAATAAAATTTTATTAATCATTAGCAATTTTGGTTCATAAACTCATAATGCTGTATTTTTTAATTATATTAGGTTAAAAAATATTTTGTTACTATATTACTGTAATTTATTATCATTATTTTTTAATGTTTAAGGTGAATTACTGTAATTTATTATCATTATTATTTTTTAATGTTTAAGGTAATTTATATATACAGTATATACATATATACAGTATAATAATGAAGTTATTTTTAAATTTATTTTTAGGTTAGGTTAGGGTTTAGGATTAAACTGGTTAATGTGATAATGTATAAGTTGGTTTTAAAAAATATATACGTAGAATAAAAATTTTTTAAAAATTTTTAAAAATTAATATATATATATAATCAAATTTTATAAAAACTAGTAGAATCAACATGTACGTATAACCTAAATGTTTACAAGTAAACTAATGCGTAGATATACGTACGTACGGTTATACATGTGTGCCTAAATTATTTTTGAAAAAAAGTATTTTCGGCAAAGATTTCGGCAATGCTAAATTTTTTATAT